AAATTAGGAAAAAAAATTAATCCAAAAGAGTTCAAAAATGTATTATAATATTGTCAATTTTGAGTTTAATTATATTTTTCATTCTCAAAGTAGAAAAATATATTGTAATTATTTTAATTTAATAAAATATAATTTAAATTTTTAATACTAAAATTAAAAGATTAAATAATAATAAATTTAATTCTTTAAATTTAGTATTTAGAAACTAAAATTATAGTTTCTCTATTTTAAAAAATTAAAATAAATATTTAAAAATAAAAATCAAAACTAGTATTATCTTAAATTTATTAAAAGTATAATTAAATCTCTATTTTCTTAATTTTTTTTGTTTTAAACTTCTCAATTCTACATTTTTGTAAATTCTATCATTATATTATCATCCTCATCTCCTCCCATGTTCTACTTTATCTTTACACACTAGTGCAAAAATGACATTTTACGTCACCCAATTGTCGTCGCATGTCAAAATATTCGACGTAAATAAAACGCGGTGGCAATTTTGTAAATAAGAGGTGAAACTTTTACGTCGCATATTGTAGGAGGTGACGTTAAAAACCTCTTTTACATCACACCTGGTACAACGCGACGTAAAAGAGAGCTTTTTAAGTCGCGTGGGGTGTGCGCGACATAAAAAGTGATACTTTTTACGTCACGTGGGGGGTGTGCGACGTAAAAAGTATCATTTTTTACGTCACATGGGGGTGCGCGACGTAAAAAGTGATACTTTTTACGTCACGTGGGTAAAAAATATCAATTTTTATGTCACATGGGGGTGCACGACGTAAAAAGTGATATTTTTTACGTCACATGGGGGGTGCGCGACGTAAAAAGCACTTTTTACGTCGCGCACCCCCCATGTGACGTAAAAAGTATCACTTTTTACGTCGCGCACCCCCCACGCGACGTAAAAGAGGCTTTTTACGTCACGTACTAGGGTGTGCGACGTAAAAAGTTCTTTTTATTCTCTTCATTACCCACTCCCGCATCTCGCGCCGCAAGGGTTTTTTAGAATGACAATGAGAACGACGACGATAGCTACCTTTCCACACCATTTTCGATCATTTTGGCAGTGAAGAACATCAACATTGTGTCTCATTTTACGAATTTGACATTTCTCCCCGATTGGATTCGAGTTTGAAATCGTTTTCGTGTTTACTCGAGGTTAGTGTTCTACGTCTCCTGATATATGTTCAAATTGAATCCGTGATTGTTTTTGGGGATCTCAATCACGTCATTGTATGAATGTCTCCACTGGATTGTTATTGGAATGTCATTATTTTGTTTGAGTGCATTTTCAGTTTACACACTCCATATACATGCTTTATTGTTTGTATATTAATTTATTTTTAAATATAAATTTTGAATCTCTAGGAGTGACGAAACTTTATAATATAATATGAATCGAAGTTGGATGAATGCACGTCCTATTAGTGAAGAGTACGAAAAGGGAGTTGATGAATTTTTGAAATTTGCTAGTGAAAATGGAAAAGGTATTGAATAATATATGGCTTTTTTCATTTAGAATCGTGTCTATAACTAATGTTCTAAGTGGAAAACCCAGAACAAAGACTTTGCAGTTCATTTATCCTAAGGTTAAAAACTTATTATAATAAGTAAATACCATAATTATTGTTTGTATTTAAATTTTGAAAATAACATTATATTTTATTCATCATTTCAGTGTAATAAGCAAATAGACTCATTTGAATGTGGTTACTATGTTATGTATTGGATGAGAGCCATAGTTTGTGCGAGTATAACTAATTCTTGGACGGAGGTAATTGTTTTCAGCATTAGTTAAGTTTATTTAACTTTATGTGTGTTGCATGTTTACAAGAGTCAAATTAATATTTCAGGTATTTCAAGATCCATCACCATTTCCAGAATATGATATCACACAAACTAGAGAATAATGGGCAAGGTTTTTCGTTCAACAATTCTAGTACATAATTTTTTAAGTTCTTGTTCATATTATATTGTGTGTATTATATAGTTTAGGTAGCTTAGTTTGTATTAACTTTTAGTTTGTAATAGATTTTTTAGTTTGTATGTTTGTATTATATTGTTTTATTATGTAGTTTGAATTATATAATATTATATTTTTAATTTACTAGCTAAAGAAAATTGAACCTCTGGACTGTTTGGTTGTAATATATATTTGCAGGTTTTAGTTGTAAAACAGAATCAACTCAATTTTAAAAAAAATAACAGCAAATTTACGTCGCATATACCATATGCGACGTAAATTTGCTATTTTTTTTTTAATTTTCAAAGTTTTTACGTCTGTTTAGTGGTATATGCAACGCAAAATTACGTTGGGTCTCGATAATTGACGTAAATTTACGTCGGGCTAAAGGGTCCGACGTAAATTTACGTCTCCCATTTTAACGTCAGTCTTAAATACGACGTAAAAAACCCTAAATACCTGACGTAAAAGCCACTTTTTGCACTAGTGACAATAGTTAATATTCTTAAATAATTTATATTTTTATTTATAATTTTTTAATATATATTTGAGAAATTAATCAATTATAATCTATTATTTGAAAAACTAATCAATTCTAATAAATTATTTAGAAAACTAATCGATTATAATTAATTATTTGAAAAAATTATCGAATATAATCGATTATTTGAAAATTTAATCGATCATAATAAAAAAATGTGGTTGTATATGATAGCGGTTCCACTTGGAACCGTTCTTAAAAGTGAACATCTAATAGCGGTTAAACCTTAACCGCTATCTAACTGTATTTTAGATAGCGGTTCACTTGGAACCGCTATTATATGTTCACTTTTAAGAGCGGTAAAAATATTAACCGCTCTTAAAAGTGACAAATATTTTATTTATTTATTGACACATTTTTGCATCAAATATCGCTCGAGCGAGACCAGTATCGCTGAAGCGAAATACAACCCGAGAATGCCAATTTTGTGCAGGTGGCGTCGCTCGAGCGATGTTATTTTCGCTTGAGCGAATGTTGACTCGCGAAATACGGACCGATGTCTTTCTCGCTCGTGTTCATCTTAGTCTACAATTTTCATGAATTTATTGCTGAATAATTGGTTCGTTAGCTGTTTAATTTGTAAATAGTTTGTTATGAAAGTGGTGTTGAAATTGTTTTTCCACTTGTTGGGTTACAATATACAAATCGGTCAGCAATAGTTTAATTAAATAATATATTTATTATCTAATGTATATTGATATAAAATTTTTTTGGTATATCAATTATATGACAACAACCATGATTAAGTAATTAATAATAATAAAGCAATAAATTTAAAAATTACATTAAAAATAAAGTATTATAAAATAAAATTGTAATAATTTGATTAAAATTGTATTTTTTTAATTAATTAAGTTAATGAGGAATTAAAATGTGATAATTTGATGTGTTTAATTGTTTTAATATACATTTTTAAAATATAATTTAATTTCAATTGAAATTTTCAATTGAAAAATAAATTCAAGAATATTTGTTATTAAACTTTTCTTAAACAATGTATTGAATAGTTAACATCACTCTAGTCTTAATTTATTACAATTTAAATTTTTAATAAATTTGATTTATTACAATTCATTTTGTTAATATTGAGATGAAAGTTTATTTTTATAGTATATTTTAAAAATTAAATTATATTTAAAAAATAAATTACTTTTAAAAAATAAATTGTAAAAAATATACTAAAACAATTAAAGTATATTTATAAAAAAATAAATTTAAATATAATAAAAAAATAATATTCATTAGCGACCGATTTCAATTCGGTCGCTATTTTCTCATTAGCGATCGATTTTAATTCGGCCACTATTTCAATTTGTAATTCGGTCGCTAAATCGGTCGCTAAATGATTTTTTTATTTTAGTATGAAATAGCCACCGATTTAGCGACTCGAAATTTTGTGACGCAAAATATTGGTCGTTATTTCGGTCCCTAAATAAAAAAGTGAAAACCAAATCATATTTTGGTCACTAAATCGGTCGCTAATTGCGACCGAATTAAAGTGGTCGCTGAACCTAGTCGCTAATTGCGACCGAATTAAAGTGGTACGCTAATTACGATCGAAAAAATTCGATCGCTAATTTCGGTGGCTAAATGTGTTTTTTCTTGTAGTATAAAAAAATGTCGTCATCTTCACAAGAATAACAAAATAATATTATTTATGATGTGGTTTGATTTGAAAAATTAACATAAAGTTATTAATTAATTGTGTTAATCATATCTATAATCATATATTAATACCTAGCTGTCATCAAGTGTGATAATTTCTCCAAGTTTGTTAGAAGAACTATGATGACAAAACTCATTTTCTTTCTGAATATTGTAGGTGCGTATGTAGTACTCAAACTTAAATCTAAGATCTCAACCTTCAATTAATATTGCTTCACTTTTTATGGTTTGTTAAAAATCAAAATAACCATATCATACGTTACAACAAAACACAATAAATACTTCTTCTCTCATTCCCATCATTCTACAATCTCATCTTTAAAATGTTATTTTCAATATTTCATTTCAAATTTATATCTGGACTGAAAAAATTAATTTTATTTTTTTGGAAAATTGGAAAGATGTTATCAAACATTTAAATTTTCAATTTTTTTAAGAATATCTATACAAAGTAATAATTCATTGTAAAATATTAACCACTAATTGGTGCTGTCATTTAAAACAAATGAAGATAAAGTCAAATTTTGTTGAGTATCTTAATCATACTTTATTCCACCTTTTTTACTTCTAGATGCAAAGATTCGTACTTAAAACTGAAGATTGAACGTGTTATAATCACACATACATTCTTTTAATTTCTTTATTAGATATCATCCATGTAATTACTCATCACACGTTACATTTCAATCATTGTAACTTTTTTCTCATGCGGAATTCCGCAGACACTCAAGCATCAATACAACTTATAAATTGTCACAAGGTATGTGGTAGTAGTTACAGATTTGAATCATTTGGAAGATTGTTTAATCACTTTTATACATCTTAGTAATGACAGCAACTTCACTTTCATCTACTTTGGCTCTTGTTTTACTGGTTCTTTACATCTCCTCTCTCTTAGAGGCTATCAATGGAGGGTTCAGTGTGGAGATCATCCACCGTGACTCAACAAAATCACCATTCTATCGTCCCACAGTAACTCAGTTCCAACGAGTTGTGAATGCTGTGCGTCGCTCCATTAATCGTGCTAACCATTTCAACAGAACTTTTGTCTCTCCAAACACAGCTGAGGCCACTGTAACACCAGAACTAGGTGACTACATCATGAGCTATTCAGCTGGAACCCCACCATTCCAAGTTTATGGTATTGTTGACACAGGAAGTGACATAGTTTGGCTGCAGTGTCATCCTTGTAAAACTTGTTACAACCAAATCACTCCAATTTTTAATCCTTCAAAATCCAATACCTTCAAAACCCTTCCTTATTCTTCTGCTACATGCAAATTAGTGCCGGGTACCTCTTGCTCTTCACATAAAGGGGGAATTTGTGAATATAGTATTAGCTATGCGGATGGGACATACTCACAAGGAGATCTTATTGGGGAGACACTCACTTTAGGCTCCACCAATGGCTCTTCTGTCCAACTTCCTAGAACTGTGATAGGATGTGGACGTGACAATAGGTTTTCCTCTGAAGAGAAAAGTTCTGGCATAGTTGGTTTAGGACTCGGACCTTTGTCTCTAATATCACAATTGAGTTCTTCAATAGGTGGAAACTTTTCCTATTGTCTTTCACCAACAGATAACCTACCTAGCAAAATCAGTTTTGGAGCTGCTTCTATGGTTTCTGGGAATGGCACTGTTTCGACCCCATTAGGCCATCATCATCGAGAAACACATTACTACCTAACCCTGGAAGCATTCAGTGTTGGAAACAACAGAATAAAGTTCGGAAACTCCTCATCAGAATCTGATGGAGAGGGAAACATCATAATTGACTCAGGAACAACTCTCACTCTTTTGCCAGATGATGTTTATTCAAATTTGGAATCAGCAGTGGCAGATGAAGTTAAGCTAAAGCGAGCTAAGGATCCACTGGAACAGTTGACCCTTTGCTATGAAGGGAAATTTCATGAACAACATGCACCAGTTATCACAGCACATTTTAGTGGTGATGCAGATGTGAAGTTAAATGTTGAGAACTCCTTTATTGATGCGGGTGATGGGGTAGTATGCTTTGCTTTCCTATCAAGTAAAACTTTTTCCATCTTTGGAAACTTGGCTCAGAGAAACCTCTTGGTTGGCTACGACCTCCAAAAGAAAATGGTCTCCTTTAAGCCCACAGATTGTACTAAACAGTGATTTATTTTGTTTGATTATTATATGATTGATGCTTGTAATAAAATAAATAATTAACATTCCCTGGTAATGTTTTTTCAAATTCAATTGAAAATTGTCTCATGTAAGTTTGTCAATATTAATCAGTGACTATTTGAAATAGAACAGGACTAGGACTTATGTGAACATTTTGTAACCCAAGTCACCAACAAATTCAATAACGGGAATTATCATAAAACTTTTTACATGCAATCTGCATCGAGTTGCAACTATAATAGCAGCAATTACGATCGTGATCGAAACCCCAATTTAGAACCATGATAGCAAAGTATATACAACAAATTCACAGAATATATAACTTGTTAAATTAAAGTGAAAAGTTAGAGAAAAATGTACAGATCTATCTTATTATTTTTCTAGTATGCTCTGCATTTTCTCTAGCTTTTCTCTGTTGGACTGCATAATCAATCTAAGAGAGTATATTTCATTCTAAAAGAAAGTGGAGATGGAAACTACAAAAGCAGAAAACTCTAGCAAATTGTATTCTTCATTGTTCGTGTTTATCAGAACTTGTAACACTGAGGTCGAGTTCATATACATTCTACTCAGTTCTGATTTTCAGTTTTGCTCCCATTCTCCACTGAATTCTTGATATTTGAAATGAAGCATGATTTTGATAGCGGTTTGCCACCACAACTGTTGGCGGTAACATTGATGCTGTCCACAATGGCGACACAGCCCATCGTTATAAACATATTTTACGCTAATATCATCAATATTCTGTATAATTTGTACTCTTTAAGCATCCAAAATATTAAAATTGAAAGTTTATAATAATGAGTGAAAAAGATCATAGTTACATAATTAAAATTTTACATATTTAATCTCACAAGAATGATCTATTTCTTTTATGCTGTAATAAAGAATCATACTTACATGATTTGTTAAGAAGTATGCGTGTCTTGATGGTTTTTAAATTTTGATTTTAATGTTATGTAATATTTGCTTCAATTTTAAATCTTTAGTTTAAAAAAATATTAAATAACGCATTGTCACGTATCATTAAATTTTATAATTAAAAGCGATACCGTATCTAATTAAATAAATATTTATTTTAAAGATATTATAATTTTTATTTAAAATATAAACACTTTTAATGATTATAAAATACTTTTTTAAATTATTATTACTTTTAAATTTGTATTTTTCTTAGTTTAAAAGAAATATTAGGATAATAAAATTTGTTTAGCAGAGCTGTCATTGTTTGCATGCCAAAAATTTCAAAATTCAGTGATATCGAATATTTCTTTTAATTAAAACATGAAATTTTAATTTAATGATAATAAAATAATTTCTACTTACATCTTAACGTGTGGTGGTTAAATTGGGCTTCTAGTTGAGAGAATTATTAAGATAACTATACCTGAGATAAAGAAAAAAAAAAAAAAACTTGCCAGGGTGATGTGTTAATGGACTTCTAAATTTGCATTAAAAAAGCCCAAATAAAGTCAATACATTATCAAAATCATACTCAAAATAAAAACCTTATAAAACTAAACTAATAACTAAATAAAGTTAAATACCAAATGAGTAATACTTAAATTCTCTAAATTTAATAATAACATTTTATTTTGGTTATGGATAAATCTACCAAAATATGTATCATTATGAAATTATTCTTCTTACAAATAAAATAATCTTTTTTTTTAATGATTTGAATTTATCATTCTATAATCATCCTTTCAAATATTGACTTTTTCGACATTACATTTTATGATTACTATTATTAGTCAAGTAACTTATAATAATATTATACAATTGCAATTAATTAAAATTAAAATTAATTTAAAATTTATACTAATATTAGTAATTATTTATAAATATTAATAAAATCTCCCTTAATTTTTTTTTTCATGAAATATAAAGTCTCGCTTTCTTTTTCTTACTCTTTTAAAATATTTATTTGAAGTTTTGAGTTATTAAAGAAAATCATCCCAATATAGTTAAATTTAGAGATAAATGTTTATTAAAAAATAAATTTTACTAATAAGCTAACATCGTGTGACAAACATTAATATACTATTTTTTTTTTCAAAAATCCTCTTGTTTTTTACTTTTTAACAATTTTAAATTTAATTATTTCTCCTATTGCTGCAAATTACAACATTATCCTCTAATAACTGCCATTTCAGAAACACAGAAACAACACTTGGTTGGTGTGTTAGTATTTTAGGTAGCAACCTTGGATTCCCTATAATATATATTATAAATCAATATTATTTTATTAAAAAATATAAAAAATTATATACTAAATTATTATATTAAATTTATAATTAATTATATTAATATGGTTTAAATTCTAAAAAGTATATTTTTATTTTTATTTAAAATTATATTTTTACCCTTTTAAGTAGATGAAAATGATTTATCACTACTATATAAGATCCCAAATAAATTTAGAGGGGATTCATATCCTTACTTAAATCATATCCAAAAGATTATCATTATTAAATTAATCAAACATAAAAAAACATATATTACGAACAAAAAAAGCCATAAAAATACATATCATATACTTTTGTCTATTAAAAAAGAAGCAATACGATAAACTAGTGAAGAGTACAACTTTTAACAACACATTGTGCTCACATCACAACATAAACAAGTAAACTTTTACTACTAAATTGTTAATATTACACAACCAGCTCTGCGTTCATTGGCACCTTTGGGGGCATCAACGCTACCACCAAAAGTGCTGCCAATAAGCACACAGGCAAGAGGAGGAGCACCATCGGTGGAGGTGCCAGCGGCGGCAACACCAGTGGCAGCACCAGCATCATGCATGTCACCACCACCATAGTTAAGAACCTCATGATGCCAGACATTTTAGGTGAAGGAAAGAGAGACAGAAAAATGAGAATATGCTTTTTGGAAGCAGCCAGAATTCAGACTACCATAGCAGTGTATATATGAATGTTGGTGGCAAAAGCTCTTATGAACAGTATAATATTTGTGGCATGCCATTTTCTTTTTTCTTTATCTCGTAAAAGCCATTTTTTGTTTTGCGTGCTGAGCTGCTGAGCTTCATTGTACATGACCGTTGGAAATTGAATCATTTGGGTGTGTCATAAATTGCATGTCATGCATTAGTCTATTTATTCAACCCTCTCACAGAGAGAAGGAGCAATCAAAAGTATCTGTTTCCTGGCATGCACTGCACCACGAGGGACCAATGATGTACCATTCACTTTATCTTTTTCTTATATATATATATATGACAAAATTTAGATTGATGAATGACAACCGTGGCATCAATCACATTCTTTTTTTTTTTTTTTCTCTCATGAACCATTTCTTTATTTTGCGTGCTGAGTTTCTTTGGAAATGGAATCTTTTGCTTGATGTCAAAGGTACATTATTTCTTTGGTGCACGCATTAGTCAATTTGAAGCAAGAAAACAAGAATTCTATCAGAAACCTTAGCATCCAAAACACATATCTTCAAATTTATCTTACTTGTGTCTCTTCAAAGGAAGCAGAGACGCACTGAATGCATTCAAATTGGTAATTCATACCGTATAATATACATTTCCTTTCAAAAGTGGTTATTGCAAATTTGAATCATTTACTTTGTGCCCTAAGTGCAAATACATGTATTCCTGAGTCAATATAACACCTTTTTTTATGCCAATTCATGTCTTGTTGTTGGACCTATTCTGGTTCATGACTGCATGGTTTACATTAAGAGTACTTCAATTAAATCGAATATGTAGCAAATGGTTCCTGCATTCTAGTTCTATACAAGCTATTGTGGAAAGACTGAATAAAGCTATTATTGTGGGATTAGTGCATTTAGATAATTCATGTATTACGATGTCAATTTTTGTACACTTTATTACTGTCATTAGTTCATGTTTGGGGATCTATTATCATCTTAACATAATATTGAAAAGTATTTGAAAATGTATTACATTGACAATTAAATAAAATGACATGCATATACTGTACTTCTTCGCACAACAGTAACTTCACTCATCCTTTTCACAACAGTATAAAACTACAAAAACAGGTTACATGGTTGGATTGAACTGAAACACTAATGAAATACAAAAAAACACAAGTGTCCCCGTACTCAAGTCACGCTGGAACCTCACCACATCCAGCCAACATTGTGTTTCAAGTACTACAAATAAGAATGTGCTCTTCATGTAAAAAATTATATTCTCCCATCTACTTAGATATCAAAGACACATTTATGTAAATTAGTGCATTTAAGGTACATGTATATTCATTATATCCTATAATTCACTTAGATACGTTTGTGTAAATTATTGCATTTAAAGTATATATATATATATATATATATATATATATATATATATATATATATATATATATACTTATCAATCTCATAATATATTGTCTTATTATTATTAAGATATATTGTAATCTATTTTTAGATGAGTGAAATTTCACAGCAATTATTTTTATTAATTTGACAGTTTTTCTTTATATTATGATGTATTTGAATTTGTTTGGATATTTTTACATACAGGATAGATTAGGTTTCGTGATAAATTAAATTATAATATTTCATAATCAATTGAATCCAAATGACTATATAATTACAACTTTATAAATCTAATTATAAAAGAATAATCTCATAAATTTGATATATTTATAAAGACAAATGATTACAAATGCCATAAAATATCAAACTTAAACATTCAAACTTTTTAACAAAGAATTTATAAAACTACAGTTACAAGACATTAGTTACATGTTTTAAATTTAATTTTTCATAAAATATTACACAGTTAAATTTCACTCATCATAAAATCTAACTAATTCATGTAAATAATGAATTAAAATATCCAACTAGGTAATACATGAACAACATGAACAAAATATTAAATTTTAAAAAATTACTGTCATAGATTATAATAGTTTTTAATAACAAGAAGACATAAAATAAAAACACAATACACTATTAAATTAACCAAAATATGCACGTACCCTTAATGTACTAATCTCTGTTAGAGTGAGTCCTGTTATATAAATAGACGTTAGAATATAAATATGTGAATAATATATTGACACTGATCTCTTTCACCAATGTTCTCCTCGCACCTTAGATGGAAAAATAGGACAGAACATTGTGAGTAAGATAATTGTATGGTTATGTAATTTTCAATATTAAATCAAAAATATTAAGTGGCTAATATATAAAATAAATTTCCAGAAATAAAATAAAAGTACATAAAATAGAAAAATAGATCACCCAGTTAAAGAAGCTTTCCAACCAGATACAGAAATAAACATAAATATCATTTAAGTGCACTATCGTATAATAAATTGAGAAACTTTGGGCATCAATATCAACTTTGGGATCTAAGTATATTAGCACCCAAAGTTGACTTATTATCATTCGCCCAGTCTCATAAACAAAAAAAATGCAAAAAATAAAATTAAAACCAATAGATAACATGAGCCGAAGAAGAATTTGTGAAAGATCTACGTAATCATCTGAAACTTTTATAGAAAATAAGTTAAAATAGTAGATGAGAAGAGTGAAAAAGTTCAACCTATTCACAATTGCCCAGCATGAAACTAAAACACGAGCATATGAAAAAGTGAAGGACGAAAGAGGCGGAAACACCGAGAACGAGAGTGTGAGACAGACAATTAGGTTAAATTGGTGTTGAATTTATACACCAATTCCCGTATCATCTGTGGCGCCTACCTTAAGATATTTGTGGTTGGTAAATTTATTAAATATCAATAATTTTAAATTCTGGTATTATTCCAGTGTTATTGATTAAAAAATTATATTACTATCTCTTAAATAAAAAAAATTATATTGAATGCAGAGAAAATATTTATAAAAATACATATAAAAATATTAAAATATACTGAAAGAACGTGTAATGTTATAAAGGATGAAAAAATATATAATAAATAAAAAAGAATAAATTAAATTTTGATTATAATATTAAAAAGTAAAAATAATTATTTAAAAAATTAATAATATAAAATATTATATGCACACATGTGCATGAGTATTTATATATCTCTGCTTATATGCATAAATATATTAATATTTTTTAATTTGATGTTTTTAAATATTAATATAAAAGTAATAAAATTGTATATAATAAAAAATTATCTACTAGTCAAATAATAATCAGATTTTGAAATATTTTATAAACGATATAAAACATTACAATAGAAGAACATAAACCAGGTTTAAATAAGAATTTTCACATTAATATAATTTAATTATCTTGTTTATTATTTTTTCTTTTATTCATCTCCTGAACACCATTAATGGAGTAACTTTCATTTATTCATAATAAAGAAAGATGAATGGTGTATTCTTTCTTTTTTCACATAAAAACAATGACACAAATGGTATTCTATTAAAACAAAATTTTTATGAGTGAATAGAGATAAAATAAAATATTAAATAATACAAAAAATATTGTAATTTTTAATTACTGTTAGAAATGGTTATAATTTTGTTTGTTACCAAAAGATTAAATATTTTTAATATATCATAATGAAAATACTTTATCTTTCAACTAAATTATCATATAAATAATTACTTTTGGATGAATACAATTTTTTTTAATTCACCAAAAAAACCATGTCTAATTATTACTTTGCAATGATGGATCTTAATAATATTTATAATAAACTTGATTTTACAATCTTAAACAAATCAGTGTTTATCTAGGATTGAAAATAAAATTTGGTGTACTCTATGTTTTTAAGCTTGATTAAACAATTATATTTTGATATAACATTTTATATATATATATATATATATATATATATATAACATTAAACAATTATCATTAATGATGTTAATTTTGTTATTAATTATCTCTAATATATATATATATATATATATATATATATATAACTAGGATATTATTGTTATTAATTAATTCTATTATTCTATATTTTTATTATATTTAAAAATTGTAAGTTTTTAATCTATTTTTTGAAAAATAAATAATATATTGGATCAAAATCAAAATAAAATAAAAATTAAAGTTTGAATCCATATAAAAAAAGTCTTAATTAATCTTTTTTTCCACAGTACACCTAGAAAAAAATAAAAAATTAAATTAAATTTTTATATGTTAATAGTTTATTTATTATTATTATTATTATTATTATTATTATTATTATTATTATTATTATTATAAAATAAATATAAATAATTTACAAAATAATTAAGTGATCATATCTTGAATTATATAATGTAAAAAATAATAAAATGTTAATAGTATAATTGACTATATCCAAGACCATTCTTCAATTTTTGTAACCTTTTTACATAAAAAAAAACTTGAAAAATTATGTTTTTATTTTAGTTAAAAATAAACAATACAGAGAGGGAGAGACATATATTGTAGAACTAAAAATTGTAAGGAATAATATTATTTATATCATTGTTTAGTATAAATTAAAGATATAATTTTGATCTAACCATCTTTAGAGTATTATTTTCGTTAATTAAGATTAAACATGGTTAATAGATTAATATATTGAATACACTAATATCACTTTTGTTTTTATTTTGTTGAGCTAGCTTTATTTTGTGAATCAAAATAAATTGAATGTTAAAATATTAGTGTTTATTTTATAGTCTGCAAGTAAGTGTGTTATGTATTTTATTTGAATAGTTGAGTCAAGCATATTATAATAGATTATTATGTGTATCTATAAAGTCTTCAAGTAATACATAGTTGTAGAAATTGGTAACTGCATGGAGAAGACAAGGTTGCAAGTCTTTTTTTCATAACAACAACATTTATTATTTGTATTTGCAGTGGTACCATTTATAATGATAACTATAACCATTATGAATTCTTGGCGTTTATTCATAAAATAAGTTTGGAAGATATACTTATAAATTTGAATCTTAATTAATCTTACATGTCTATCGTATACAAACATGTTAAAATTATTGGATGGGTATTCGAAAAGCATGAACAAAGTTGACAGTACAATCAGGACTTAACATCTCAACCTTTTAACATTCAAGACTTAGAGAGATTTAAAATGTAGATGTGGTGTTTGAAGTGCATATAACTTACAGAGATTGAAAATGAATATGTGGTATTTGAAATGCATGTAAGGACAAAATATTTATCAACTATAATGTACATAAACTATTTATATTGATAAATGATAATGATGACGTACCATTTTTTTTTCTCTCTCGTAAATGTTTTCTTTGTGTTTTGGAGCTTTTTGAAAAAAAAAAAACAATAATTTTATCCTTCTATAAAAAAACCTTAGTCAAACCTTTTGGATTCCAAATTGAAAATTTTGAATGTAGTTATTAAACTTGTACACTCTGTTTAACTCATAACAATTAGTTAAATTTTTGCTTTTACGGTTTTGAATTTATAATGATTTAGATTAACTAATAACATTTCAATTCAGTAAGAATATCTCCAAATAAATTTTTAATACAAATTGTTTAAAAATAAAATAAAATATTTTATTTTGAGTCCTATAGTTAAATTGTTTAAAACTTAGTCAATAATTTTTTTTAATTCTAAGTAATTTTTTTCACTTTTAAACAACTTAGACGTGGAATCCACAATAAAATATTCATTTTTATTTTTAAACAACTCTTAATAACAACTCTCTCTGGAGATGCTCTAAGAATTTTCTTTCATACCATCTTTGAAATCGTTTACCAACATATCTTGACATATAAATGACTTTTATCTAATAAAGTTAACCTAGAAATACACATTAATATCACTATGTAGAATATTAATTAAACAACATCAAATATAGCATACCATCTTTGAAATCGTTTACCAACATATCTTGACATATAAATGACTTTTATCTAATAAAGTTAACCTAAAAATACACATTAATATCACTATGTAGAATATTAATTAAACAACATCAAATATAGGTTTCTTATAACAAGTGAATGTATGACAATAGATGTTTCATGTTCACTCTTTTACGTGAAGGTGCTTGATAACAAATTTAAGCAATTTATTTTGATTGTAAAACATCACAACCATCAACCTTTAACGCCTTCCTTTTCCCTATTTCATAAATATTGGATTCTTGATATTTGAAGGGACTACATTACACCTTTTATTTTGCTAAAACCATTTTTTTTTAAATCTTAGTTTAAAAGAGGTTATGTATTAACATATTATAGTATATTATGTGTAAAATTATTAAGTCACATTAAAAAAAAAAACAAATACACGCCTAATTTGTAAAGTATTATTGACAATATTAGTATTGAGACGCTAGAAGTACTTAATTATACAACTTGGATTAATAAGTTTGTAGTTTATAAAACCCTATAAACTTTTTGCCATTTTGTGTTAATGTTAAGAAAGAAACATTTGTAAAAGAAAAAGAGCTTAGAATGGGTGAAGTTTTGTACACGGCTGATAAAATGACGATGAAGAAGCCGAAGTAAAGATTCAAGAACTAATTATAATTCATGATGAATAAGGGATTTACTTTTTGGGTGGAAAAAAAAAGAGTTAACACATGGAACTGTAAATATTATAAATATGATAACAGAAAATTGAAGCTACAAGGACTATAGTAGACTGTTATGAGTGTGAGATCAACTTGTGGAGAGAGCCATGAAAAGAGCATTGGCACCATCACCATTGTTGTTATCACATAAACTAATGTTAGAACAATCCACGCCAAACTCATTATGCATGCATGCCTTTTCTAAAGAACAGTAAAGAAAGTAAGAGACACAAAAGAAATGAGATTTGTTACCACAATTTATATGCAACTTTTTAATAATAATAATAATAATAATAATAATAATAATAATAATAATAATAATAATAATAGTAATAATAATAATAGTAATAGTAATGTTTTTCTAGTTTAACATAAGATTGGTTGATATATTGTTTCCTAATGGACATTTATTTACATTTTAAATAGTATAGTATCTGCTAAATAAAAATTATGAAATAGATTTTTAATTAATTTTATTTATATGTTGTTTTTAGAATTTGGGTTTACATATTAAACAATTCCGTAAATAATTTACTAGCTGAGGTGAAATAATCCACACGCTTTGTTTAAATTTATTTAATAATTGAAGTGACTATTTTTTATAGTATCTGACCTGATTAAGAAGGAATGACCTCAAGATTAGCCTTCACTTACCCTCAGATCCAAATAAAGGAAAAAGAATAACAATGAAACCATCACGGAATGAGAAAGAGCAACCGAAAACATCTATTCCCTAACATGCAATGTAATATGAGGAACCAAACAATTATGAAAATTAGTTATATATGGAAATGGAATATTTTGCTCTCTTGCGTGACAGCAACGCATTCATGCTTTTCGTGTCAGTTTTCTTTGTAAAGTTGTGATCATCATAAGAAAAACACAAAACGAATTAAGTACACTCTGGAAAACACAACCTACGCTCCAAATCTTTGGATTCACTCTGCATGCAAATTTTGTTTCCATGTCAATTTTGTTAAAGAAATAAG